TATTGATAACCCTTCACCTATCTCAAAATAAATTTCCTTCATGACATTTCAGTTCTCAAGAGGGAAATCTGTCACTTTGTGGACCCCATTGAGAACACCAGATAGGTACCTTTTCTTTTCTGTGATGGTTATCTCTATTTTTCAGGTAATGAACTTTCTCTTGGAACATGTTCTTTTCTGAGCTCCTTTTGACATGAAGTTAGTTCTCGATTATGCTGTCCAAATTCACTTTTCCAATGTAGGAGAACTGAAATGCAATCCATGGGGTAGCACAAGGATGGATTACCCATGACGTCTTGCAGATGTTTTGAAATTAAAATTTCAGGACCTCATTCACCCATATGAAAGGGAGGCAAATTAAGCTGACTGTTTGGTTAGAAAGGGAGTTTCCAATTCAAATTTTGTAGTTGCACACTTAAATGTTAAGGTTCATTTATGGAGAACCCAATTTGTAAGGAAACTATACATGTAAAGATCTTCTTTTCTTTTCTTTTTTCCCTTTTACTAATGAAAGTACAGTTCATGATAAAAAGATTAATCTTTTCAACCTTCAATCTTTATTGTTTGAAGATCTATGCTTCTTTTTTTTTAGAATTTCTATGAATTTAGCTTTTTCTTTCTTTCCTTTTTGTAGATTGTGCTAAATTGTGGTTTCATTTCCAGTAACAAGTTTACAAGCATAAAGTTTTTGATATTGTGGTTGTTTTGTGTGCCGGAATTCGTGAAATGAATTTTGTATTTGGTGAATTGGATAATCCTAACATTGGTAAACTCTACAGAAAGAACAAACAACATGAAGTAAGGCTTAAAAAGTAGGCTGTTTTCTTTTGTTGAATTCCTGTAATAGTTCTTGTAATTGGTGGATCAGATGACCTAGCTTGGGTGGACATAATGCAAAAAAATCAAACAACCCTGTAAAGAAGCCCTAAGTCTATTGCATCTTATTGTCCTTTCTGCATCTTGTTTCTTACGGCATTACAAATTTTTGAGACTGAGGATATCTTACAATTGATATACACAAGCTATCAGATTATGTTCTGTATGATTAAAAATGATGATTATCATTTCATCAATGACCCTGTGACCGACACTGTTTATTGTTGCTTTATCTTGAGTTTGAACATAGGATCTTTCTATCATGTAAAGCAATCTAAGTCTCACTTGGTTTTAATTTCATACAGGTTGAGATACATATAAAAGAGCAGAACCTTACATATGGTTTTGAAGTGCTTGAGCATTTTGTGAAAGCATTTTGAGCCAACTTTCAAACTTACAAAAGCAGAGGTATATTCATGATATTTGCTTCATATACAATCTACTGCTGGATCATCTGATCGGCACTAAGCCACTAACATCGCCTTTTCTTTTTAATTTTGAGCTAAACACATTCTTGATTACTGAAATAGTCCCACTTGGTCCTCGTATGCATCCAATCCTAATATGCAGACCATTTGTTTTTCATTTCCTTATTTTTCTCAAATCCAAATATTTTTAATCTACAGTATAGATATATTACATTCTGTATTATGTTTTGCACCTATCTTTATTTTTGTTTTCTATCTTCTAGCATGCAGGATGATATTTTATACACTGTGGCGACATTTTATGTTCACAGTTCATTGGATGCTTGTATGGGATGCTAGCCTCATCATGGACTCTACTTGTCTGTCACACATGTTTCCCTAATCTCTATAGCATAACATGGCTTTTCAGCATTATTCCTTGGGGCCTACATTATCGAGTCTCCTTTTCAGCATAGCATCTTTGTCGGACATATCCTTACTTTGTTATTGGGTTATTGTTTATTTGTTATTTTTTAATTCTCCTTCAATGTTGTGTTTCTCATATCTGCATGTTCATCTTCTTGGATCATGAGTTGCCATGGAACATATTATTTTTTACTGATTTTTGTCCTATATACTATTGAAAAGTTTTCTTCTTCTGATATAGTTTTGTGCCCCACAAATTTAAAAGTTCCAAATAACTTTAAATTTTTTAGAATTTTGTGTTGGGAAAAAACAACCATGTACTGTACATACTAGGTTCGCAAAGGATCCCATATTCAGTTCTATTCATTTGGTTTTGTTTTGCTTCTGGCAATCATCAATCATGAATGTCTTTTCTGCAATTCAGATGCGCAAAAGTGACTTTGGAATCATACATAACTATCAGCAGGTGGTCAGACTTTTTTCTGTAGACCCAGTCTAGAAGAGGCAGTGGATCATAAACTGATTTATGAATACTGGGTTGAGGGCTAGGGCCCACACAACCTTGATTGAGCCTATTCTAATGAGAGAAAGATCAGCCACTTGAGCCTACCTAGTGCCCCACGCACCAACCTCTCTCTTTCCTTTTGAAGCTTGATGAGACTTGGCCTTTTGTCTACCTTCTAGTGATGGGAATTGCTCATGCACACCCAACCATATCTCCATGTAGTAAACCTTGTGGTATTCACATAAGTTTCATTGCTGAAAATCTTGAGCAAAAGTAATTTTGTTTCTGTTATTCCTTTAGTCCTGTCATATCTTACACAAGTTGGTTGTTCATTCACTTGGTATGTGTTTTGTAGCAGTAATAGTTATTATAGTTCGTGCATCATTGAGAGTTCAAGCGGCTCTGTTTGCTGCATACTGTGGTTGTCTTCATTCCCATCAAAATGGGTTCATGATTATGTTTCGAACGTTTGAAAGCGCCCACCTTGCTGGTTATGTTGGTTGGTGTGTGTAGGGCAGAGCTCATACTCTTGGTTTGTGCGCGGTGCAAGTTTTCTAAGTACGCACACCCTGCTGGTTTTGTCATTGTTACAGTCCATATAACAGTAGGTTCTTGATAGTATTATTGTTTTTAAACCTCGAAGTTTGGTGCCCATCGACTCAATGTGAATTGCGCATAAGTCGAGTTTGTAGGTTTTGCATTCCACAAGCTTTTTTAAGCATTCTTCCGCTGCTACATTTCCACAACTGTCATTCCACTCATAACAGTTGATTTATGGTCTCATTTGTTCTTTTATGAAGAACCAACCTTAGTGGTTGTCGGTCGGTGCATATAGAGCACAAACCGCATTGATGTGACGTGCATTGCTAAAACTGTCCAAGCACTTTTCTGTCCAAGCACTTTTGCTTTGCAACTTTCAGTTATAGTTGCAGTCATAACAGTGAGCTAATGGTCCTCTTATGATGATTACATAATGTGAAACTTCATGCACATGATAAAGCTTGCGTTGGATGACCATACGCTCACATTTGTCAAGATCGTGTATGTTCATGTGCTTGAGAGTTCAGTTTGTTTGCTGCTGCATTTTCTTTTGATAGGAGCATCTCTAGACTTTGTTTAAGCATAGTTAAGGGAACCTTGTGGGTAGCGTGACGATCCCACTCCAAAACCGCGATCCCACGGTTTGTGCAAGGGATTTTGTAGGGAGACCCCTTTTTTCGATTTTGGGATCTCGCTCCCAAAAAAAGGAGACCATGTTTCACCCATCAGTGGAATCTTGTTCTATTTTGAAATAGATCCTCGCTCTCATCAACCATGGTCCAAGGTTTTGATAAATTAAAATCTTGAGTTCCATGTATGTGGATTCTACTTTCATTAACGGATGATACCAAGTTGGATATTGACATTGTCCGAAGTTCTTATTATTTAGGAATCATAAGTTCCATGATGTTAAAATCCAGTCCCTTTTTCGCATATCACGAAGCTCCATTATTTTAGATTCTTAATTTGAACTAGGCACAGTCTAAAGTGACCCATGGTTTTATTAAATATTATTGTGTAAGCCATCCCCTTAGTTGTAAGAATATATATTTCATTTAAAATTTTATATTTATGATGTCTTATTGTTTTAGAGTCTTAAATCTGATTATAGCTGTGAGATGAGAATATATGCATTCATTTCAAGCTTTAGAAAGCTTATTTTACATCAGTGAGAGAGAGAGAGAGAGAGAATAGTTCATCTTGTCCTCTTGCCCCTCTGAGAGAGAGAGAGAGTAGTTCATCTTGTCCTCTTGCCCCTTTGGAGAGCCAGCGTTTGAGAAACAATGGAGGCAAAGGAGACTACATTAGAAGAAGATGACGGTTAGAGTGGTAGGATTTTGGGTTGTCAGGGAACTAGGAATAGTGCATGCCAAACTTGTGTCATGGCCCGAAGATGTAGTGGTCATAAGAAAGACCGACTTATAGAGCTACATAATTAATCCATTGTTATTCACACAAAAATAAATAAATTCATTGTTAAGGGCAGGGGCACTTGATAAGGGATCCCTTGTAAATGGCACTTGGGGACCTCGGGACCAATCAGTTGAGGAACTTGATTCATATACTTTAAGAATCTCGATATTAGAATAGGAGGAACCCCGTTATATAACATACTTAAACCTCGATTCCTTAACCAAGGGACTCGTACTAGCTCTACTTACAACCTCATTTTTTTTGTATAGTGGAGCTTAGATTCCTGCTGGTCAAAACATCAAACCCACTGGCATTGGATCTCACTCCCAAAAACCTAAGGAACTCGTTCCTTGTCTTGTTCATTGTACGGATGCCGATCCTAACACCAAGAAGCTTCGGCGAATCCCAAACCAATCCCGCTCCCGCCTCCAACAACTATGTGTTTGATAATAGTCTCTAACTGTATTTAGAATATTGTGCATTCACTTAAGTGTTTGTGTTAGCTGCATCGTCTCCTTGCTCATTCTATAGCATTGTGACATAGTCGACATATCACAGTGTGCATGGTTTAGGTTCAAAATCAATCACACCATGCTGCTGCGGCATTGTTCCATTTTGTTCGTTATAACCGTTAATAAGTACAATCCATCGTCATCTTGGTTGAAGCCTTGAGGGTATAACCTTGGCGTGGGGCATGTTTTAGCATAAATACCTAATGGTCGGCACAATCCTTGTTGAATGGTATCAAGTAGATTATCAAATCGGCATAGCTTCCATCTAAGAAACTACGGGTTAGATGTACCGTATCATAAGGCTTGGCAAGGGAAGTTTCACAAATATCTATAGACAGCTCATGATTTCAATTGAATAGCAACACGATTCACAGATGTAGGAAAAAAAACAGCAAAAACATCCTTCTTATCTCCTCTAAAATTCTAGAGCAATTCATTAAAATACATAAACTACAGCTCCAGAAGAAACCCAGAAACCATATACTATGCTCATTATTCAAACCACCAAATCAAGCACATTGTTCCGAACCCTCCAGGCAAAATCGAGATTCAAACACCCATGCAGAGTCCCATAACATTAAAAAGAAAAAAGAAAGACGGAATTGCAGCCACATTCAAGACTAAGGCATGATGAAGCAGATGACAGACAAAAAATTAATTTTTCTCTCTTACCAACTACTTCAGTTAAGAGCACTGACACCTGCCTTGTTCTGCCTGGCGAGCTTGGTCCACTCAGTATGGTACGAGCCTGGCCTATCGATCCTCTCATAAGTGTGAGCCCCAAACAAGTCCCTCTGTGCCTGCACAAGATTTGCTGGGAGCCTCGCTCGCCTATAACTATCGAAATAAGCCAAGCTCGCATTCATACCAGGTGTACTGATTCCGGCCTCAATTGCCAAACCCACCACTCTCCTCCAGGCTGCTTGCCTTTGCACCATCTCTCTAGCGAATTCCGGGTCCACCATAAGATTTGGGAGCTCGCGATTCCTCTCATATGCCTTCTTGATCCTATCCAAAAACACAGCCCTTATAATGCACCCACCCTTCCATATCCTTGCCAATTCGCCAAGGTTCAACCCCCACCCTTTCTCGACGCTCTTTGCTCGAAGCAAGTTCATCCCTTGAGCGTAACTGCAAATTTTCGAGGCGTACAAAGCCTGCCTCACATCTTCAATGAGCTTCTTCTTATCGACTGCCGGCCTCGCCAAAACCTCACTCAGCCCAAACTCCGAAAAAGCCTTTGATGCCGCCTCTCTCTCTTCTTTTAACCCACTGAGATACCTGCAATCAAGCGAAGCTGCGATTGTGGGTGCCGCCACAGAGAGCTCGGCCGCTTGCTGAACCGTCCATTTCCCAGTCCCCTTCATCCCAGTTTTATCCAAGATCTTATCAACCAGTTCCCCCTCTCCAAACTCATCCTTGACCCTAAATATATCAGAGGTGATCTCAATCAAGAAACTCTCAAGCTCCCCCCTATTCCACCCTTCAAAAATCTCAACCAATTCCTGGTTACTCAACCCACCAACATGCTTCAAAACATCATAGGCCTCAGAGATTAACTGCATATCACCATACTCAATGCCATTGTGCACCATCTTCACGAAATTGCCTGAACCCCCGGGTCCTATATAAGTAACACAAGGACCATCAGACACCTGGGCCGCCACCTTCTCGAGAATATCTCTGATATTCTGATACGCATCAAACGATCCGCCAGGCATCAGCGAGGGGCCGTTGCGAGCACCCTCCTCGCCGCCCGACACGCCCATGCCGAGATACAAGAGGCCACGGGCAGACGCCTCCTCAATGCGCCGCTCAGTGTTCTCATACCATTCGTTTCCCCCATCAATCAAACAGTCCCCAGGCTCCATGAAGGCCGAGAGGGTCGCGATGGTCTGGTCGACAGGTCTCCCGGCCTTGACGAGGATGACAACAGAGCGGGGCCGCTGGATGGAGAGGATGAAGTCCTGTGGGGAGCGGTGGCCTAAGAGGGGGAGGCCCCCCTCGGCATCGGCGCGATGGACGGTGTCGTCGACCTTTGAAGTGGTTCGGTTGTAGACGGAGATGGGGAATCCCTTCTCGGCGATGTTGAGGGCGAGGTTCTGGCCCATGACCGCAAGGCCTGCAAGGCCGATGCGCGAGAGCGTGGCGACCTCCATTACCTATTCCAATGGGGATTGTGGGGGTTCAGATTTCTGGAGATTTTGATTGTAGAGAGTGAGAGACGAGCCTCCAAGGAAGGGGGGAGCAAGAGAGATGAGATGAGAGAGAAACGAGATTGAAGGAGAGAGGAGAGGTAAACTTAGAGAGAGAAAGTTGGGAGGGAGGGGGAAGAGGTTTTTAAGTTGCAGAGAGAGAAACGGCCATTTTTAGTGAGAGGGAGGGAGGGAGGGAGGGAGCGAAAGGGCATGGCAAAACGTAAGTTGGTACGATGCCTCTACGGAGCATAGATTTTGTATTTCCAAAATTGAAATTACAAATGCACCTCTATTTCAATTTCTATTTTTATTTTTATTTTTATTGTCTCCAGGAGGTCCGACTTGTCCATTGGCTTCAGACCTCAGATTCGCCACACTAATTTAACGCAGGCTTCTCGCTGGGCCCGGTAATAATCAAGAAAAATGTTTATATAAGGTTTTAACCAGCGTTTAAAAAATCGCCGAGTCGAACCGGACTCGCCCGGTTCGACTCGAAATTCACGAAAAAGGTACCGGATCGGTTAAAAAACCGGGAATCGTCCAGTTCTAGAGAGAACCGGACGATTCC